TGGGTAGAGTGCTGTGGCATCACAGTTCACAGCAACCTCAAACTCTTGGGCTTAAGCGATTCTCTTGCCTCAGCCTCTCAAGTAGCTGTAACTACAGGTACCCACCACAATGCCTGACTATTTTATTTGAGCAGGCCTGGGCTGGATTCGAACCCACCAGCCTTGGCGGTCCTGGTGCATGTGGCCAGCGCCCTACCCACTGAGTTACAGGCACCACCCTCTGAATTTTTTTTTAATGTATCTAAGCTTCAGTGGACTGTCCACAGGTGACTTTCCCTGTGTCCTAGTCGCTGCCTCCGGCCTTTGCCATCCTGTATTCCTCCAGCACTCCCTGGGCTCTGTTTACAGTTAATCATCTTTTTCTGGTTTACAATTCTTCATGTTACATTTTCCTGTTCAAGTCTCTGGTGAGGTTTCTGTCTCTCAATTGGAACCAGCGGTACAGAATCGGTGCAGGAGGGTCTTGGAGGTAGCCCTGAGGAGTCGTTCAGATTATGATCTGGGCTTGAATTCACTGCCAATGGGAAATGGCATTCATGTCCCTGGCACACAGCAGCAGCATCCGTCCTCCTTAAGGACCACCACAGCCACCACCTGCTGCCACAAGACTTACAGAGTCACATTTTGGGTTCAGGTACTCGGCAGAACATGGAGAAAACAGCTCATGCCAGGGATTATGGGAATTCCCCATAAAAGACCAAATAGCAGATCCCTGAGCTTTGTGAGCTACTTACAGCCACTGTCCTCCCAGCTCTTGACCTCCTTCTCACTTTTGTCTTTCAGTGTTGTTAGCGTGTGTGTTTTACAACCCTTTAAAAATATAAAAACCATTCTTAGCTCACAGGCTGTACAGAAAAATAGATGCCAGGCCGAATTTGGCCCACAGGCTGTAGTTTGCCATACTCTGGCTTGTATACTACAAGAATTCAGAGATTTTTCAAATATATATTGGCAGAAACCTGAGGAGTGCATATGATAGTGGATTTTGGGGGTGTCAGACTGAGGATGTTGAAACAGAACACGAGGGTGTTTGATATCCATAGCCAAGGTGCACTCACCAGCTATGCAGATTCTGTCCAGACCCTGCAGCTGGCACCACCGCAGATGGCTCCTCCCTCATGTGGCCATCAGGCGTGGGCCGACAGTGGCTATAGCTGGTGTCTCTGGATGGCAAGCTTCCCCAAATGACGTGAAAAAAAGAACACAGATGCAGGGAGAGTGATATTGGGTTGGGTGACCAGTGTGGCCTGCACACCCCCACCCCAGCCACGCTCCAGGAGGCTCAGAAGACACCACTATCACTAGGGCATGAGGAATTTGTTAGTGAAGGGAGCCCGTGCGGCCTGAAGAGTCTCTCACTACTGTCCTTAGCAGGCCAAGTATGACCATGAAATGGGGTGCCCTGTTGGAGGGGGTCTCTGCTTTCAGTGGGGTGATGGGATCCCACAGTAGCAGAGCCCAATAGGCCACAGCCAACACCCAAGGCAGGCCATGTCCTGGGGGCGGCAGGACACACTGGTGTAGGAATGCTGTGGCCTGTAGCTTCTCCAGCTACCCAGAGGGTCCCTGGAAATGCAGTAAATGTTCAGCCCATCAGCACGTGCCTAGCCTCATGCCGCAGAAACAAACACCCGGGTGAAAAACCACAACAACATGGCCTCTCCACGTCTGATTCACAGACCTGGAGCTGTGGACTGAGGGGCCGGGTCCCTGAAGCATTGTGGCCAGGAATACCAGAAAGCCACCTCCAGGCCTTCCTCAAAGGGACCTGCACTATTTGGTATGCAGTCGGGGAAGGAAATACTCAAGACCTCAGCAGTGACAAGGCTCTGGCTTTAAATGGAAGCTCATTCCCCGGAGTCCAAGCACCCCCAGTAGCCACCAGTCCAAGTGAGTCCATGGTGGTCAGTCGATGCTCAGCTCAAGTCTGACTCACAGCAGGACCAATGAGCCCATACACCCACCCCATGGCTCCTCCCCAGTTCTGAAGCCATAACTGACCTGGGCATACTCGGCAACAGGAGGCAGGGTAGGAAGGGCTCAGCAGGAACATCCTTTCCCGGCCACAACAGTGAACTCAAAGTGGACGGCAGCAGGGGGTGGGGGGGGGGGGGGGAGGTTTGCAGAGATCAGGGCCCCCATCAAAGAGCCAAAGAGGCAAGAGCAGTAATGCAGATCAAGCCCCCATCTAACTCCCCTGTGTGTTGTCTGTAGAGCTCAGATGGATCTTAGCGAGTAACTGGGGATTATTGAAAATGTCGGCTCAGCGCCTATAGCTCAACCGGCTAAGGCGCCAGCCACGTACACCTAAGGTGGCGGGTTCGAATCCCCAGCCCGGACCCGCCAAACAACAATGATGGCTGCAACCAAAAAATAGCCGGGCGTTGTGGCGGGCGCCTGTGGTCCCAGCTACTTGGGAGGCGGAGGCAGGAGACTCGCTTGAGCCCAGGAGTTGGAGGTTGCTGTGAGCTGTAATGCCACGGCACTCTACCCAGGGGGACAGCTTGAGGCTTTGTCTCAAAAAAAAAAAAAAAAAAAGAAAATGTCATCAGTTGCAATAATCCCAGAAGTTGCTGTCTCATGCGGACTGTCTTTAATACAGCTGATGAACACACTCCTGCACCTGGTCCACTCCTAGTGGGTCAGCTAACGCCTTCTTCTTCCATACCAATTTTCTCTCTCTCTCTTTTTTTTTTTTTGTAGAGATGGAGTCTCACTCTATTGCCCTTGGTAGAATTCCATGGCGTCACACAGCTCACAGCAACCTCCAACTCCTGGACTTAGGCGATTCTCTTGCCTCAGCCTCCCGAGTAGCTGGGACTACAGGCACACCAATTTTCAAAGACCAGCAGAAGCCACTTGGTTTTACTGGGCCTGGCCAAAAGTACACTTTGACAGCCCACACTTGGGCCCTTGTCATGCTCCTGCTGGCCAGCAATGCCACGAACACCACAATGACCCATGATGACACACTTACTGGATCCAAGGAGCAGGGAGTGACCAGTGCCTTAGATGTCCTAATGAGTCATGCACAACAGAGGGCAGGAGGCAAACACCACAAAAATTCAGGGGCCCCTCACCTCTGTGAAGGTTCTGGGGCCCAAAGGTCTGAGGCAGGTGACACCCGTTCTCCTTTTGAGAAACAGTTTCTGGCTTGCTATTGGGTCTTATAAAATCTGAACCGCTAACTACAGGATTCCACACAGCCTGTGCGTCACACCATGAACCGGTGTTGTGTGGCCCCCATGGCCATGAATCTGCCTTCTACCATCAGGTGGAAATGGCACATAAAGCCTAGAGTCAACAGGTTTGTAGGTGCCGGGAAGGTTCCCGAGCAGCTGGCTCAGATTTCAGTGCCCTGTTCTGTTGACTGCTCCCCCTCGCCCGACCTACATCTGGGCCTTCTAGGGTCGTCCTCATGTCCAACTGACAGAGGAAGGAAACCCTGGGGCCTGTCTGAGGTCTGCAGCTACGCACCCACAGGACCGCAGCTACGTACCCACAGGACTGCAGCTATGCACCCACCAGCTAGCTGCCCCTGAATCTCCCCCCAGAGGACAGAACCTTACATGGTGTGTTTGCTTGCCTACCACATGTGGGACAAGATGGGTATGGAATCCTAGGCTGTTAAAAGTTTCAGTGGATGGTCAGGGACTGGGAAGGAATGGGCTAGGAAGACAATTCATTGGAAACCTGATGAAGAGGTATGTGGTTGGAGGTCTGAGCAGGTCCTACAGAGCTGGCCTCAGAACAGGTGGGCAGGATGGTGGCACCCTCTGGATACTGGCCAGCCTGCTCAGTGGCCTGCACCATGGCTGTGGTGGAAGGATGGGCTAGGCACAGTCTCAGCTGCATGGGCTTCTCCTCACCAAGCTGCACCTGGTCACCACTGCTGAACACCCAACTGGGCAACAGTGGAGACCCACACTGACCTATCAAGTGCCACCATTACCAAGGGACCAGACAGCCACCAGGTATCAGCTAGGTGAGTCTGGGCCCCTTCTATCATGGGGACAGCGCCTTGTCCTTGCCTGAGATACACTCTGCATGCACACCTGCCTCCCCTGTCCCAGTGCCTCTGCCCTGGCGCCAGAGTGAACTCCAAGGGCACACCATCCCAATGGCCCTCCAAACACTGTCTCCCATCAAGGAGCAAAGAGGGGTGGTGATGGGCCTGCGCTGTGCCCTGGGATTCCTCATCTTACCATGTGCCTGCAACCAGGAGCGATGGTCTGGTAGCCATGGCATGGCCTGTGGCAGATTCACAACAGCAGCATCTGTGGTGACCACGCAGGTAGGGTGCTTATCTGTGACATGCAGTGTATGCTCCAAACCAGAGCCCCACAGCCAGGACACGCAGGCAGAAGCCGGAATGGAAGTGTGATGATCACTCCCCAGCACTCCTGGTGCCCACCAGTGTCTCCTAACACCGGAGACAGGACTCTTCTGTGTCACAGCCACGCTGTGCCACACCTGGCTCCTCCAGCTCCTGGACGGCGCACAGAGCTGCCTGTGGGAGGAGAAGCTCTGTGTTTTGTGAGGGGGTAGACGCTCGGCCTTGCAAGGAACACTTTTAAGTCGAAAAAGTTCGTGTTACATCACTAAATGTAGCACTTTGTGTTCAGAACCCACCCGGGCAGGAGCTCCTGCAAAAGATTTCTGAACACCTGGGAAGAGTGCATGAGATAAGACAGGAAGGGGTGAACATGAACACATCACTCAGAACAATCCAGCCCTATCAGCAATTTAAGGTTCCACAACGCTGCGGGTCGAAACAGGCCACCATATTTGTGGCAGTGATCGCCGAGGCCAGCGGGCTGTGAATTAGAACACAGAGGGGGCGCAGCTGGAGGCTGAGCGCGGGCTTCGCGTTCTGCGGTGTCTGGCCCTTTGCGGCCGCCGTAGTGTAGAGGGCCCAGCTGCAAATGTTAAAGGGTTTCGCGTTCTGTAGCTCTGGGTCTTTTGCGGCCACCGTAGCGGGACGGTTTGGATGAGAAGGTGTAAAGTTTCGCGTTCTGCGACGTCGGGCTCTTTGCGGCCGCCGTAAGGCGGCGGCCTGAGCCTACGGTGGCTGCAGGGACCGGGGTGCGGCGCAGCCGCTGGGGCCGGGGTGGGGCCGCCATGGGCAACTTGTTCGGCCGCAAGAAGCAGAGCCGGGTCACGGAGCAGGACAAGGCCATCCTGGTGAGAGCTGGAGGCGCGGGAGGCCGAGGCTGGCGGCGGGTCGGCCGTGGGGCTGGAAGAGCCCGGGCCCTCCTCGCCTGCACTCGGGGTGGGGAAACTGAGGCGCACTGCCCGGCGGGGGTGATGAGGCGTGGTGCCCTCGCGGCTGCGGCTGTGGGAACCGGCCCTTTGGCCTCCCGACCCCCTGCTCGCATCTTTTGTGGACTCGCTGTCCCTCCACCCCTGCGTCCCAACTGTACACTGATGCCGTGGGTCCGCATTGGCGCGGTGTTATCCGAGCGGGGGGCGGCAGGACAGCCAGGCCTGGCCCTCCCCGTGCGTCGGGCTGGGCGTTGAGGAAAATGGGTCTTTACTCCCTGGGAGCGTCGCGCATCTAAAGAGCGTTCTTGGTGGGCTTCACACCCGCCTTGGGCCCTCCTGGGGTCTGCAGCGTCCTGCTAAGCGCTCACTGAAGCGCTCACACAGCACTGAGTGTTTAGCCGGCTTGTTTGTGACCCTGGGAACGATCCGGCAGGCAAAACTGGACCCTGGGAAGTTGATCATGAGTTGAACCAGATCTACTTGTAGATTCAAGTGTCTCTAACAGGGAAACTGATATGAAAGTTACTTTCGGTGGAAGCAGTTCTGCGATGTGTTAAGTGGAACCGTGTGTTGAAAATAACCCATTTTTGTAATGAGAAAATAGTCAGGAAAGAGCTACTCCAAAATGTGAGCTGAGTTTACCTTTTCCAATGCTTTCTCCTCTAGATTTTCTGCAACAAAAGTAGGTTATTTTATACTGAAAGACAAAAAATACAAATGAAAGGTGCTTTCTTACCTTGGCTTCCGAACCCGTAAGTTACAGGAAGTTCTTGACTGAAGTCCCCCAGGTGAAGAAGAAATGGGGTGGTGCCTGTGGCTCAAAGGAGTAGGGCGCTGGCCCCATATGCCAGAGGTGGCGGGTTCAAACCCGGCCCCGGCCAAAAACTGAAAAAAAAAAAAAAAAGAAAGAAAGAAAGAAAGAAAGAAAGAAAAAGAAATGATGGGCACATTTGTTTCTAGGTGCTATTCACCGGACAGCAGGGCCCCGCCCCGGGGGTGTGCCCAGCTCTACCCTCTGTTTCCGCTGGCTAGAGCAGGAAGCCCCAAAGGGATTCTCTTTCCTTTTCCCCTCCTCCACGCTTTTCCCTTCCCTCTCCCTCCTCTCTCTTTTTTTCTTTTCTGAGACAGGGTCTCACTCTGTCCCCCATGCTGAAGTGCATTGGTGTCATCACAGCTCACTACAATCTCAAACTCCTGGGCTCAAATGATCCTCCTGTCTCAGCCTCCCAAAGAGCTAGGATTACAGGCATCGACCTCTCTTCTATGTTTAAGGACTTGCCTGTTTCTCTTGAAGTAGAACTTCCCACTAGCTGAGGAGTCACCTTGCTGGGTTCAGCAGGCAGTAAAGGTCTGCGTTCCTGTCCTTAGAGTGTCAGGTGCTCAGGATGACATAATCATGCAGTAAAACAATGGCAGCAGACCCTCCAGAGCTGTCCATCCTTCACTGACCACCTCCTTCAGTTGAGTGTTTTCACAGACCGGACATGCTGCACATTTGTGTGTCAGCACAGAAGGCCTAGTTCTTTATGATCACCACCTCCCAAAATGGACCAGTTTGTTAACCATCTGTTGGGGGTCACCTTACAGTGGCTCAACTGTATTGCTTTATGTTTTCCTAGGATAAAAGTGAGCCCCTGCATGCTGGCATGACCCTATGTCAAGATCTCTTATTTGACAGCAGGGCAACCTGGCCACACCTCCCTCCCTTTGGCCCTTCTCTAATCTCTCCCTGAGACCAGACTTAGAATATTCTGTATACAGCTGGCACGGCTAATGACCCCATGAAGGGTCTGGGCAGAAGCTGGAGAGGCCTGGGCATGGAGATAGACACTGGGGTGTCCTGAGCCCTAGGCTGAACTACTGGGCACCTTTCACTATAGCAAGGAGTACACACAACTCCCCCCTGGCCTGCCACACAGGCCTCTGTAAAGTGGGTGCTCTGTGTGTGTGGAGGGAGCCAGGAGACAGGCCCATTCAGACAGGACTGCTGTGTCTGTGCTGGTGACATTGTGCTACACCAGTCTTTTTTTTTTTTTTTTTTTTGAGACAGAGCCTCAAGCTGTCCCCCTGGGCAGAGTGCCGTGGCATTACAGCTCACAGCAACCTCCAACTCCTGGGCTCAAGCGAGTCTCCTGCCTCCACCTCCCGAGTAGCTGGGACTACAGGCGCCCGCCACAACGCCCGGCTATTTTTTGGTTGCAGCCATCATTGTTGTTTGGCGGGTCCAGGCTGGGGATTCGAACCCGCCACCTTAGGTGTACGTGGCTGGCGCCTTAGCCGGTTGAGCTATAGGCGCCGAGCCGCTACACCAGTCTTGAAGATTTGCGTTTGCCTTGACTTAATTCACCTACAGTAATCTGCCCTAAGGACAGTTGGAAGTGCGAGCAGTGCCCAGCCCACACAGGCTTGTTCTGGCATTATCTAAAATGTGCCTAAATGGGAAGCCTGGCTGGAGCTGTACGTGACCGCATATCCCTTCCCAGGCAGCCCGTGGGTTGGGAGGCAGTTGGCAAGGTCTCACAGGTACATCACCAGCATACATCTGTTGCACTCAAAGGAGAGAGGCCCAGGAGAGGATGCTGGTCCCTGACCTGGCTATGTGGGATGGTGGCGCTTCAGTGCTTGTCACCTGTGTGTTCTCTTTTGTGTCCAAACCTTTCAAGTACTGGCAGCCACTCCCTGGCCTGACCCCAGGGCACCTTCCCTGGTCGAAGATGGTATTCGGTATTCGGCCTGCTCCAATGGTGACGCCTCAGGGGTCCTATTGTGTCTCTGTGCCACACTGTGGCTGGCTGTAGGATCCATCTTGGCCCTGTGGACCTTTAGGGCCAGATGCTTCTCTGTAGTCAGAACATGGAGCAGCAGCCCTGGCTGTGGGTCCGGCTAGAGCCACCCTCTAGTTGTGACAACCAGTACCATAGAGATGTTCCAAATGTCCCCTGGGGGACAGGCCTGCCCCACCTGGCCTGTGAGGTGTCCAAATAGGGACCCTCCAGCCCCGCAGCACATGTTGGGCAGGGGGGTGAGGGTTCTACAGGCAGCTGCCACCTTGACATGAGGCCTGCTCTCTCGGCAGCAACTGAAGCAGCAACGTGACAAACTGAGGCAGTACCAGAAGAGGGTCACCCAGCAGCTGGAGCGGGAGCGGGCCCTGGCCCGGCAGCTGCTGCGGGACGGCAGAAAGGAGTAAGTGGGGTCTGGACCACGTGGGCTATCCCTGTTGGCCCAGAGCGGGTGGAGGGCCCTGGAGGTCAATCTGGGAGACACTGTTGGTCACCACCTGGCTTCCCCTTGCAGACGGGCCAAGCTGCTGCTCAAGAAGAAGCGATACCGGGAGCAGCTGCTGGACAAGACGGAGACCCAGATCAGCAGCCTGGAGGCCATGGTAGGGGTCGTCTGCCCGGCATGGGTGCAACAGAGGCAGCTCTGCCGGGCTGAGTAGGGGGCATAGTCTCCTGTTTCTCCTTGGACCCTGCAGGCCAGAGCTGACCCTTGAGGACGGTGGGTGAGGCTTGAGTGAGGTGACTCAGTCTTCGCTGGTCCTGAGGAGTAGGCAGGATGGCTCTGGCAGGAGCATGGCCTGGAGGGCAAAGCCACCTCTGGGTGGTGTGTGTGGGTCAGAGTCTGCCCTAGTAACCAGCACCAGTGAGTTTCCCTGGCACTGGGAACCTGAATGATGTGGCTCTACTGTTTGCTAACTGGACTGTGATGAGCAGTCAGCCGTCCCTTGGGTCTTGCTTCATCCTAAGTCGGCCGTGGGAGAGGACAGGCAAGAGGGCAGCGCAGAGTCACCCCAATGCCTGATGCCCCAGCAATGCCATTGGGAAGGTGGTGCCTGAGCATGGTCTGGCTACTCTCCCAGGTGCAGAGCATCGAGTTCACACAGATCGAGATGAAGGTGGTGGAAGGGCTGCGGCTGGGAAACGAGTGTCTCAACAAGATGCACCAGGTGGGTCCCTAGGGCCAAGCTGGGGGCTCCTGGGAGTGCTCTCGAGGCCAAAGCTGCACCCAGGCATCAGCCAGGGCGTGAGGGTGGGCTGGGGACACCATGCTACTGAGAGAAGTCAAGTCAGCTGCCCAGAGAACATTCTCAACTTTTTCCTTATTTTGCCTGTAACTATGAAAGTCGACTGGGTGCGAAAAGGTCCAGCAGAGGACACAGCCCCCAGAATGACCAGTCACATGGCTCCGGCAGCCTCTGGGCAGGGCCCTCCTGGGACAGAAGTAACTTCCCTTCATGGACAGAGGGGCAAGGCCTTGGCCAGGCTCTGTGGTTGGCCGCACTGGCTCCACATTTGTCTCCATCACCTTAGGTGATGTCCATAGAAGAAGTGGAGCGGATCCTGGACGAGACCCAGGAGGCTGTGGAGTACCAGCGGGTAGGTGCCCCCCCCCCAGCACTTTCTCCCCTCAGGGCCTCTGAGAAGGGAGACCAGCCACCGGCGGTGTCCTCCCCCAACCCTGCCCTCACGGCCACTCCTTTTGCAGCAAATTGATGAGCTGCTGGCAGGAAGCTTCACTCAGGAGGATGAAGAGGCCATCCTGGAGGAGCTGAGCGCACTCACTCAGGTAGTCCCCTCGGGTGCCGTCTCGGTTTTATAACAGGTTTTCTGCCTTGAATGACTCAGTTTCCAGGGCTGGTCTCCTGAGGGTCTGGTGTGGGCTAGAAACACACAGGATGCTGTACCTTCCCCACCCCCAGCCCCCTAGGTTCTTCTTTGCCCAGCTGCCACAGAAGGGCCTTCATGGTGGTTTTGTCCCTACCTGTGGCTGTTGACTTGCCTCACTCCCAGGCCTGCACACATAAGGCTGAGGCTCTGACTGACTGTTTCTGTGGCTGCTGCCTCAGTTTCCCAGATTCTCACTGTGCCCCCAGGCTGGCTTCTGTCTCCAGCCCTCAGGTTGGCCAAGAAAGGGGTGGCACTTCATTCACCTGCTGCCAATGCCCAGGGCTTCTGGCTCTGCCCTTGGGTGTCCTGTATCCACCTACCTATTGAGTGTCCTTCCTCCTAAGGGTCCCAGTCCTCCTGCCAGGGAAGAACAGCCTGGAGGCAGGAGGCTGCCCTGCACTGTGGCTGCCTCACAGCAGGGTGCTGCTGCCCTTTCTAGGACCTGAGGATACTAGAGGGCCTGGGGTCTGTGTCACACCCTTGGTCCTGGCATGGCCCTGACCTTGTAAACTGGGTTCTCCAGGAAAAGCTCAGAAGTTGGCCATCATCGCAGCCCCCTGGGATACTCAGGGTACTATTGGGAGCAGCCACCACAGCAGTGGCTGTGTCACTACCAGCTGATTGGAGTTTCAGAGGCGCCTGAAGCAGAGAGGACATAGACTCTGCCTTTTCAGTAGAAAGATCCTCATTTCCTTTTAAATCCAGCTAAAAGCAGCCAATGGGACAGTTCAGAGAGACCCATGTGCCTGTTGGTGTCCCTGACTGGCCATCACGGCCTCACCTCTGCTTCTTGCAGGAACAAATAGAGCTGCCGGAGGTTCCTTCAGAGCCCCTTCCCGAGAAGAACCCAGGTACCTCCATGCCTTGTCCTTTAGAGTGTGTTAGAATTCACAGGGGAGCAGGGAACTCTAGAGGGTACAGACAAAACACTCCTGGCCCATCCCAGGCGGTGGGTGACTTCATGTAGCTCAGAGCACACATACCTGGCCTTCAGGTGAGTGACCTCATGAGAGAGGAGCCTCCAATCCTGGAGCCCAGAAGGGGCTTATTCAGCTGCGTAGGCTCTGTTCTAAGGGTAACCTGGGAGTGTCTGTCTGGGTGCCATGGCCCTGTGCATTGCCTCATGAGCTTGCACACATGCCTGTCCCCTGTCCATGGCCACATTTGTTAGCTCCAGGGGTTTCCAGTTTGTGATGTGTCCCTTGGGGCTGGGTGGGCTCTTCCCTTTGCTCGAAGCCCCTGGGCCTCTGTGGCCTTGTCCTTCTCTGATTTCTGCCTGTGGGGCCTTCTGTATGTCACATTTCTGTTTCCTCTGCAGAAAAAGTCCCTGTCAAGGCAGGACCCAGGCAGGCGGACCTGGTGGCAGCTTCGTAACATAGCCTCCTCTGGTGGGGCTCACGGGGATTCCCCAAGGATCATGGCCCTCTGGCGTCTGGGTGCATGGCCAGCCTAACCGGGCCCCCAATGTCAGCATGGATGGTGCTGAGGACCGGAACGCAGTACAGGGTTGGCGCCTTGGGGTGACTCTTGTGCACCCTTGCAGCTTAAAGTCTGAATGCGTGTGGGCACTGCTGTCTTGCTCTCCTTTCTGGATTAAACGACAACAACCAAACCCCGGCCAGGCCAGCTTCTGGCAGCTGTGGCCCCTGTGGCGGCCAGGCCAGGCTCCCGGTGCTGCTCATGCTGCTGTTCCCCAGCCCCATGCGGCTTGCCTCCTCCGTGGGGAAGGCGCCGTCAGACCTTAGGGTCCTGCGCTTCCTTTTACTTCTGCTGCTCCCATTAGCTGGTAGGGGCTTCACTTAAGGGTCCCTACCTTGGCCTGGCCTCCTGACATGCCTCAGTTGCCATGTAGGCTAGGGGTGGAAGCCCCAGCAAGCTGCAGTGTTGGTGCCTCTGCCTCGGTGCCGCAGACTCCAGCCTCTCATTTTGGGGTGGTGGGCCAGGGGCCGTCCTTGTGGAATTGATGACCTAGGGAACCCTGACTTCACCCCTTGATACTCAGGGGTCTGTACACAGTGGCTCATCCCTGCTGAGAAATGGACATCTTGCCAGGTGATGAGACCTTGCTCCAGCAGGTGTGGCCCCCAATGTGCCCTGGGGGTCCATGTGTGTGAGGCTTGTGGACTGCAGCTCCTGAGCCACCAGCAGCCAAGGTGGGAGACCTGGAGAGGACTTCTAAGCACAGGGTCGGCTCTATGAATTGACAGTCGTGTGGGATGTCCCATGTCTATGAAGCCGGCAGGAGCAGAAGCCCTGGGTGCTACCATGGACAGAGGGGAGCTGCTTCTTAACCCTCGAGCAGGACCACCCTGAATTAAAGTTGGCCTGTTCATGGCCTCCTGCCTCGTGGACCTGGTGTGGTCGGCACCCTGCTGTGACTCCTTCGTGGGAGTGGGGGTGGGCAAGAGTGTGGCCCCTTGTGATGACACTGATTGAAACAGCCCCTGGGGGAACCTGCCTGGCCAGGCCAAGGACTTGGGCCCAGGAAGCTGTGCTCCGTGAGGCCCACATAGCACTCCGGCCACATCTCCCTCCTGACCCAAGCGGTTTCGTGTGATTCCTGCGGCCGGTAGCATGCAGGGCTAGAAGTCCCCAGGCCTCAGACCAACTCAAGAGGAGTAAGGGTGGGCGGTTTTTGTCCTCAGAGATTGGCCATTTGGGGTCATGACACCAATGTGGGAGGCCAGATGCCCCAGGGGCAAGCTCAGCAGGCCCCACCTGAGGTGACAGCTCCTCGTCCTGGGGTCATGAATGCTGTGGGACACCAGCCTCAGAGCAGCTAGAAATCTGGGTTTTCAGGGCAAGTCCTAGTTTGGGGACAGCAGGCTCATACTTCCTGCAGTGTGCATATCAGCCAGAAGGGGGCTCCCTGCCGCCCCCTGAGGGGTTCTGCAGAAATGGGGGGGGGGGAACCTGCCCCTCTCACCCCAGGATTGGGAGGTGGTCCTGAGGGTGCTTCCATGGGGCCACAACCTTGTCCCTTTGGAACTGCGGGTCCCGGGCCTGTGAACCAGCCATGAACTTCACGGCCTTGGTATAGCCTCTCCACCCCTGGGACCCCCTCCATTCCATCCACCTCAGCCCAGTGGGGACCTCCCCAGGACAGGCTGGGTCCCCAGCAGCATCCCATGCAGGCCTGACCTGAGCAGCTGTCCACAGTGCCCTGCCCCTCACAGCTACATTCCTGGTCAGAGCCAAGGAGGTGCAGGTGACTGTCTCTGAAGCCACGCAAGCTTGCTCCTGATACGAGAAGTGGGGACACAGCCCAGTGGTGCTCTCCTGTCCCGGGTCACCAAGAAGAGGAAGGGGGCCCTTCCTCTCCTATTATCCAAGGAGGTAGAGTCTGGGTGTCAGTTGGCCTTTCCCTTCACACACAATTCCCTGGTACCCTTGGTGTGGCCTGGCTCCCTGTTCTGTCCAGGGGCTGATGGCAGCTCCCCCTGCCAGCAAAGAGTAGAGCTCAGCACCACCCAGGTCCTGACCTGCTTCCCTTTATTCTGGGTAGGAATGAAAACTCACCACAAGTAAATTGGAATTAGGTGCAAAGCCTCCTGGCAGAGCTTCTGTCCTACCAGTTCGGGGGGCGGGGGGTGTAGGAGGGGAAGCAGGGGCAGGAAGAAGGTTATGGGACAGGCCACAACAGGTCGCAGCCTCCAGGGGTGGGGAGGACTCTGGCGCAGAATACTTCCCCGGAAGCTGTCCAGGGCCTGCAGAGAAGCGGTGGTGGGGGTAACCCTTTTCAGAGGCTGGACTGTGCATTCTGAGGTGTGGGAAGCAGACAAGCAAGGCTGGAATGGGGTCCCCGGGTGGGGTAGGGTGCCCAGGAAGGTCTGGAGTGCAATGGGGCACCTGACCCCCACATGTGCCAGCGCTGAGCGGCCCCCCACAGAGTTCTGACTCATGAAGGAATGACAGTTTGCCCCAGACCTAGATGCCGGCAGCGGCTGTCCTGGGGCTGGCTCAGCCCCAAATCCTTTGAGCCCTGGTTTCCTCATGTGTGAAATCTGGAGGGTGCGGCCACTGGTTTCTCCCGGCCCTGAAAGTCCACTTCTGTTGCCAACTCATGAGCCGTCCACACCTGGAAACTGTTGGCATGTTGTAGTCTCTCAGGAACTCAATTTTAGAAACTTCATCCCTTCCTGCTAGTAGGGTAATACCCGAGACTGGGTGGTTCATGAGCGAGTTGGCTCACAGCCGAGGTCGGAAGTCCCACTCCCAGGTGCTGCCAGCCCTTCTTGCGTCACAGCAGAGAGAGGGGACAGACTCCAGCGGCCCATTCCCGCGTGCAGGGGGCCTCCCGGCACCCAGCTCTCAAAGGCCCCACCTCCTTGTACTGTCACAAAGGCAACTTCAACCAGTTTTGGAGGGAGAAACTGAAACCTCAGAAGAAACAATCTACAGAGCAAGGCCAGAACCCTCATCACTGCAGCAAGCCAGGGCAGCCGTGAGGACCCGCCTGCTGTCCTGACGGAGGAACAATGCAGGCCCTGGCCAGCCAGGCCCACCCACCTGAGCAGCCGCAGTGATGGCTTTATTTTTTAACGATCAGATCATACGGGCAAACAGTTTTATTTGGCTATATGATTCTGTGGGTTTTAGTGTGTGCAGGGGTACTGCTAGCACAGTCAAGATACAGAACATTCTGGCCTGGCTTGAGGGCTTATGCCTGTAATCCCAGCACTCTGGGAGGCTGAGGCAGGAGGATTGCAGGAGCCCAGGAGTTTGAAGTTGCTGTGAGCTATAAGGATGACAACCACTCTACCCAGAGTGACAGAGTAAGACTCTGTCCCCCCCACAAAAAGAACATTCCAAAACCCCAAAGCTGCCTCGTAACCACTATGCTATGGGCGCCGAGCCTGCCCCCTTTTCAGGATGAGTGATACCTGGGTGGGGTGTCCCACGGCGGTTGCGGGCCTCACCCCAAGCCGGGGGTCCCCATTATCCTCTCCACCACCATATGCACAGACTCATGACTCCAGGTCCCCCCTGAGGGCTTCACATGGCCTGTGAGGAGGCAACCCTTTGGACAGGTGGGAGTTCTGAGATTAGCCTAGAGGGGGCATCCGGACAGGGTTGCCTGGGAGTGGACGGCAGAGATTTGTTCCCCAGGCTCTGCACAACCAACATGCCTTTTATTTCTTTTTTTCCAGCATCTCTATTGACCTGTGACTCAACCTGCTGTACAAATCTCTGGTCAGAACACACGATTTGAGGTTCTGAGCATATCCACACATGCGCAGAGCCCATTCCAGAGCATTCCCATCACCGCAGGGGAAGCCTGTGCCCTCTGGCTGGCCTGCTCCTGCTGACCTTGGTCTTAGCACCCACTGATCTGTCTCACAGAGCCCCCGTTCTGCACCTCACAGCAGTAGAACCATCACACACGTGACCAGTCTTTTAGCACACCTGCAAGGCACGTGCCGTAGCACGCGTTGGCACTTCTCTAACAGCCAAATAATACTCCATTTGGGGATAGACCACATTTTGTTTATCCATTGATGGGGATTTGGGTTGTTTTCACTTTGGGCTGATAGAAACATTAATGTACAGGTTTTTGTCTGGACATATGTTTCCAGTTCTTGTGAGTAAATGCCCAGGAGTGGAATCGCTGGGTCCTACGGTAGCTGTTTAATGATCTGAGGAGCCACCAGACCGTTTCCCAGTGGCTGCGCCCTTCTCCATCCCCACCAGTGTGTGAGGCCCGTCTCTCCACCCACGTCCTTGCCCGCCCAGCCCACGCTGTGACTGTCTCTGGCCATGTCAGGGGCATGTCCTGTGGTTTGATTTGCATTTCTGTGCTGTCTGATGGTGCTGAGCATTGTCTTCATGCGCTATCAGCTGTTTGTTTATCTTCTAGAGAAATGCCTAGTCAGAATTCTTGCTCATTTTCAGCAGGTCAGTTTTCTTTAGTATTGAGTTATAAGTGTTCTTTGTATATTCGGGGTGCTAGGCCCTCATTAGATAAATTATTTGCAAATATTTTCACCCATTCTTTGGATTTCCTTTTCAATTTTTGGTGATGTCCTTTGAAGGACTAAAGATTTTAATTCTAGTGGAGTCCAACTTATTTATTTTTCCTTTTCTGATTGTGTTTTTGGTGTCCCAGCCAAGAAACTCCTGCCTAATTCAGGATCCTGAAGATTTATGCCTATGGTTTCTTTTTAGAGTTTTATAGTTTTAATTCTCCTGTTCGGGTCTTTGATTCATTTTGGGTTAACTTTTGTATGTGGTGTAGGGTTGAGGGATCTAACTTCATCCTTCCGCACGCAAATGTGCCATTGTCTCAGCACAAGGTTTGTCACAGACACCAAGCCACTGGAGTAAATGAGGGTCTGTTTCAGGCGTGTTATTCCAGTGTCCCCCTTCCAGCTTCGTAGACGGTTTCAAAATCAGGACGTGTGGTTCCAACTTTGTTCTTTATTTCCAAGTTTCTTTCTCTTTTTCCTTTTTGCTATTCTGAATTTTAGGATAAGCTTTTCAATTTCTGCAGAGAAGCCAGATGAGATTTTGATAGCGATTACATTAAATCTATAGATTAATCTTGAGAGTACTGACTTCTCTCTTTCTTTCTTCTGCTTCCTTCCTCCCTCTCCCTCCTCCTTCTTCACTCTCTCTCTTCCTTTCTGTTTTTTGGTGTATGTGTGTGTGTGTGTGTGTGACAGAGTCTCACTCTGTTGGCCCAAAGTAGAGAGCCATGGAACCATCTCAGCTCACAGCAACCTCAAACCCCTGGACTCAAGAGATCCTCTTGCTTCAGCCTCCCAAGTAGCTGGGACTATAGGTGCTCACCACAACACCCAGCTAGTTTTTCTATTTTTAGTAGCATGGAGGTCTTGCTCTTGCTCAGGCTGGTCTCCGCCCCCCCACCGGCCTCCTAGAGTGCTGGGATTATAAGCATGAGCCACTGTGCCTGGCCAAGTACTGACATGTTAAGAATATTAAGTCTTCAGATTCATGAACGTAGGGTCTTTTCATTTATTTAGGTCTTCTTTAATTTCTTTCCACAAAGTTTTATAGTTTTCAGAGTATACGTTTTATATTTCCTTTGTTAAATGTATTGATTTTATTTTTGTTGCTATTGTAAGTGAAATTTTCTTAATTTCAATTTCATTGAAAGAGTATAGAAGTATAACTGGTTTTTGTACAGTGATCTGATACCGCAAACTTGCTAAACTTGTTTATTCAGACAGTTTTTAGTGGCATCATCACGACTTTGCGTATACAAGGCCATGTCAGCTGAGTCGAGGGAGTTTAACCTCTTCATTTCTACACTGAACACCTTCAATTTCATTTCCTTGCCCAAATGTCCTCGTTAAAACCTCCAGAACAAGGCCAAGCGAGGTGACTCACT